TCCTTGAAGCATCAACATGTTCCACCTTTGTTGAAACACCTTCCTTCTGCATCGATCCTTCTCTTCCTGGACATGTTGTGATGATGTGTGGACAGTTATTTTACTTGCTGCATTAATTAAACACGGAAGTGGATACACTGCCACCTAGTCGCCAGTGGAAATGTGCGACCTTGGGCAGCAGTAGCTCAACAAGTTGAGCGGGCTGTCCAGTAATCGGAAGGTTGCAGGTTCGATCCCGGCTCCGGACAGAGAACGCTGCTGTTGTATCCTTGGACAAGACACCTAACCAACCTTGCCTGCTGGTGGTGGTCGGAGGGACCGGTGGCGCCTGTGCTCGGCAGCCTCGCCTCTGTCAGTGCACCCCAGGGCAGCTGTGGCTACATCGTAGCTCAACACCTTCTTCTGGCTCTTGGAGAGTACAGACACTATTTTCTCCTCTCCCTCCCTGCTCTTCCCAAGGCTCTTTGTCCTGTCTGCCTGTGCGCTGCGCTTCTCTGCATTTTTTCTGGAGACTGGAAATTATTAAACATGGATCTGGTCAGTTGGTCTTTCAACGCGATTGACAAAATCTTTTCAACAATGAGAATGGGAGAAGGGGCTCCCGGATGCCCCTCTGGAACAGAGCCAGCTGGGTATATCATTCAATTCAATTACATTTTATTTATATAGCGCCAAATCACGACAAGCGTCGTCTCAAGGCACTTCACATTAAAAACATTCCAGTACAGGTCAGTTCATTAAGCCAATCAGAAACAAGTTTACTATGTAAGGAACCCAGCTAATTGCATCGAGTCACTGACTAGTGTCAGTGACTATAGAGCAATCCTTATACTAAGCAAGCACTCAGCGACAGTGGAGAAGAAACCTCCAGAGAATCCTGGCTCATTATAAGCAGCCATCCTCCACGACTCACTGAGGATGGAGAAGACAGCGCGCGTGCACACACACACACACACACACACACACACACACACACACACACACACACACACACACACACACACACACACACACAAAGCAATGTGTCTATGGTTACATTGTGATTGCTTAGTAAATATTCTATTTGGTGAGAGATAAACTTTATTGTATTTATCCTAGTGGATCTATAATTAAACGGGTAAACTAGTAGTAGCACATTCGATGTCAATGAAAACAAAAAGTTATTATCAGGAGAGGGAGAATGTTTAAGTGGTTAGCAGCAGTGTGCTAGTCGATGGCCCCCTCCATGAGGCCACCACAGCTCAGCAGAACATCGTTGTAGCTTCTTCTGGGGAGAAAAACACTTAGAGATAAAATAAAGTTAACAGCTGAAATAGCAGGACATAATACAGTTAAAGAGCAGATTGTAGAAGAAAGCAGTAGAGTGTGGAAAGTGGTCAGTGTATCCTCCAGCAGTCTAAGCCTATAGCAGCATAACTACAGATATAGCTCTGGATAATCTAGCCTTTTTAGATGGAGGCATGTTGGAGGCAGTGCAAGGGAGAGCCGTCTTTACCGACTGCACACTCCACCTCCCTGTACTCCCCCACTTGTCCAGATCTAGGCTAACATCAGATTTTAACCATAGGCCCTATCAAATAAAAATGTTTTAAGCCTATTCTTAAAAGTAGACATGGTATCTGCCTCACGGACTAAGGCTGGGAGCTGGTTCCACAGGAGAGGAGCCTGATAACTAAAAGATCTGCCTCCCATCCTAATTGTAGATATTCTGGGAACCACCAGTAGACCTGCAGTCTGAGAGCGAAGTGCTCGGTTAGGAACGTATGGAACAATCAGATCACTGATGTATGATGGAGCTTGATTATTGAGAGCTTTATATGTGAGAAGAAGGATCTTAAAATCTATTCTGAATTTAACAGGTAGCCAATGTAGGGAAGCTAAGACAGGAGAGATATGATCTCTCTTTTTAATTTTCATCAGAACTCTAGCTGCAGCATTTTGGACAAGCTGAAGACTTTTAACTACATTCTGTGGACTTCCTGAGAGTAATGAATTACAGTAATCCAGTCTTGATGTAATAAATGCATGAACTAGTTTTTCAGCATTACTCCTGGAATGGATGCTTCTAATCTTAGCAATATTCCGAAGGTGGAAAAAGGATTTCCTACAAAACTGTTTAATGTGGAATTTGAATGACATGTCCTGGTCAAAGATAACACCAGGGTTCCTTACTTTGTTCTCGGAGGTTAATGTAATGCCATTCAGGTATGTAAGTCTGATCTTGGAATTGTGTGTACTGAAACAATCGAATTTCCCTCTGGGATTGATAAAGTATTTTTGAACTGAATTGAATTTTGAATCATCATCAGTGTATGAATGTGTGTGTGATTGGATGAATGATATACTGTAGTGTAAAGCGCTTTGGAGTCCTTACTCTGAGAGGCGCAACATTCAAGTTTATTTATATAGTGCCAAATCACTATAATAATAGGGCCAAATATCAGTTTAGAGTACCCACCCTTTTTGGAGTCCCTGGGACGAGTGCTAGATAGTGCTCCATCAGGGGACTCCATTGTCCTGCTGGGGGACTTCAATGCTCACGTGGGGAATGACAGCATGACCTGGAGGGGTGTGATTGGGAGGAATGGCCCCCCGATCTGAACTCGAGTGGTGTTTCGTTATTGGACTTCTGTGCAAACCGCAGTTTGGCCATAACGAACACCATGTTCGCACATAAGGATGCCCATCGGTACACTTGGTACCAGGGCAGCCTAGGTCGCAGGTCGATGATAGACTTTGTAGTCGTATCATCTGACCTGCGGCCGTATGTTTTGGACACCCAAGTGAAGAGAGGAGCGGAGCTGTCAACTGATCACCATCTGGTGGTGAGTTGGATCAGATGGCAGGGGAAGATGCCGCGTACACTTGGCAGACCCAAACGTATAGTGAGGGTCTGTTGGGAATGCCTGGCCGAAGAACCAGTCAAGACAGTCTTCAACTCCCACCTCCGGCAGAGCTTTGACCGCGTCCCGAGAGCAGTGGTGGACATTGACTCCGAGTGGGCCTTGTTCCACTCTGCAATTGTTGAGGCGGCTGTTGCTAGTTGTGGTCACAAGGTGGCCGGTGCCAGTCGTGGTGGCAACCCCCATACCCGCTGGTGGACACCAGAGGTTTGGGGAGCCATCATGCTGAAGAAGGAGGCCTACAGGGCGTGCCTGGTCTGTGGGTCTCCGGAGGCAACTGACAGGTACCGGATAGCCAAGCGGGGTGCAGCAGTGGCAGTTGCCGAGGCAACATCTCGGGCATGGGAGGAGTTTGGTGAGGCCATGGAGAAAGACTATCGATCGGCTCCAAAGAGGTTCTGGCAAACTGTCCGGCGCCTCAGGAGAGGGAGGCAGCAACTAGCTCACACTGTTTACAGTGGGGATGGGGAGCTGCTGACGTCAACTGGGGCTATAGTCGGACGGTGGAAGGAATAATATGAGGAGCTCCTCAATCCCACTTATGCACATTCCGAGGAGGAACCAGAGCTGGGAGACCTGGGGATGGACTGTCCATTCTCGGGGTCAGAAGTTACTGAGGTAGTCAAACAACTACACAGCGGCGGAGCACCGGGGGCGGATGAGAATCTTCCTGGGTATCTCAAGGCTATCGATGTGGTAGGGCTGTCATGGTTGACACATCTCTGCAACATTGCATGGTCATTGGGGGCATTTCCTGTGGAGTGGCAGACTGGGGTGGTGGTCCCCATCTTTAAGAAGGGTGACCGGAGGGTGTGTTCCAACTATAGAGGGATCACACTCCTCAGCTCCCCTGGAAAGGTCTACTCCAAGGTACTGGAGAGGAGGGTCCAATCAATAGTTGAATCTCAGATTGAGGAGGAGCAATGTGGTTTTCGTCCTGGCCGTGGAACTGTGGACCAGCTCTATACCCTTGCAAGGGTGATGGAGGGGGCATGGGAGTTTGCCCAACCAATCCACATGTGTTTTGTGGATTTGGAGAAGGCTTAGGACCGTGTCCCCAGGGGCACCCTGTGGGGGACACTCCAGGAGTATGGGGTGGGTGGCTTTCTGTTAAGGGCCATTCAGTCCCATTACCAGAGGAGCGTGAGTTTGGTTCGCATAGCCGGTAATAAGTCGGACCTGTTCCCGGTGAGGGTTGGACTCCACCAGGGTTGCCCTTTGGCACTGGTTCTGTTCATTACCTTTATGACAGAATTTCTAGGCGCAGCCCCCCCCCCCCTCCCCCACCACTTAAACCATCATAACAGCCCTAGACAGATGAAGAGATGAGGCATTCTGTATGAAAGACGATCATGTCTCCTGCCTAGTGTTGATGATCCAACAGCGGACTGAACCAGAACCGCTCTGAACTCTGTCATTTACCATCTAAACACACACTGTTCATTATTCTTCCTCAGTAGCTTTTTTTCACACTACTGGCTCTGCCAGTTCTGTCTTTTTCAGGATTCATTAGTAGTAAAAACAAATCTCCCTTTTTTTGTATTTTTATTATGGTTTTTGTTTGTCTTTTTTTTAGTTTTGTTGTTCTTATAAAGCACCTTGTGAGCTTATCTTGAGAGACGCTATATACAAATATTTTTTTCTTCTGCCTAGTGGTATGCAAGCACATTATAGCGGTACTTGGAAACAGTTCATATTTCATTTCCCAGTTGATGGCTATCAGTGATTCGACAGCATTTGCTGAACCTTACTTCAAAATCAAAACACAACAAAAACATTGGACTGTGATCTGTATTGCCTAATTAATTCACAAAAGAATAATCCCACAGCTTTTATCAGTGATAATGGCAAAAAATGCCTAAGCCACAACTACATGAAAAAATCAGAACAGGACAACCGCACGATGCTGCGCTACTGAGAGAGGGCGTGAAGCCTCATTCACACTGAATACAGAATGCATGCAGAAGTGCTACGTGTCTGTGTTTAATTGTCCACCATCTGTACTTAGTTGTGTCATCAGAAATAAAGGGAATGTGGTTAATTTTCATGCTGAGCTGTCCTGTTTCTTGGAGTGACTCAATCATGACAAAGTTTGAGTTAAAAAAGATAACCGGTTTATTACAATCTAGTACATGTTAATACAAGCATCGGTACACCGGTGGAGAACCATGCAGCCCAAAAGTGGTTCCGTCTTTCCGGCATCTGTCCACTGCTTATAACTCTACAACAGCATCCCTAAAAACTCTGGTACAGGCACATTCCTAAGCCTGCTTAGAATAGCAAAATGCTATTGTAGGAGAATGGAGTCTCCACAGAGCCGCCTTGTAATTTATGACTTCTTGACAACAGTCCCAGCTGTCTCTCCACAGCCTTTAAGGTGGATTTCTTCTTACTGGCTCCAAATGAATAAAGACACATTCTTTTTAAGCTGCAGTTATTACAACATTGTATGCTATTATTTTATATACAGATAAATTGTTTAAAGCAGATGCCACCGGTATCTAACAGCTCTAAATTGCAGTGGGTTATGTACTACAACCATCATGTGCCTGTTGTCTGTTTCTTAAATACAGGAGGGTATAAAAGTTTTTTCTTAATCTTTAGGTAATATTTTGTTGTATTCAGAATTCATGAATGAACATCTCAAATGTTTGGTTACGGTCTGAATTTAAAAAACAAAGGAGATTTGAAAATGAAAATCAAAAGAAGAGGCGGCCCAAGGGCCAAAAACAGACTTTTCTTTTTTGGATATGATTTATTTGTAACTTTTTCCACAGTTACATCACATCCACATACCAACACACTAAAATAAAATAAAAGAAGGAAAAATAAAAGAAAGAAAGAAAAAAAAACCACTTATGCGCTGTAGTAACAAATAGACAACCAACGTGTGGCTATGCCGGCGGTAGCTCTACAAGGCCGAGGTTAAGTGTCCATATCGAGTGTCACAGATGTCATATGGTCTTGGAACAGCCTCCAAATTTTGGCAAAGTCAGTTTCTGAGCCCCTCAGAATGAACCTTATTTTCTCTAGTTTCATAAAATAGAGGGCATCTTTAATCCAGCGGGAGTAGGTCGGTGGATGAGGGTCTTTCCAACTCATCAGGATAACTCTCCTTGCCAATAGCGTAAGAAAGGCAACCAGATCAACAAAGTGAGATGGCAAGGAGTGCCCAGCAGGTAACACCCCAAATAAAGCCGTCAGTGGGGATCGTGGAACTCTCCAAGACACAATAAGTGAGAGTGAATTAAAAATAGAGTCCCAGAATTTTGACAAGGCAGTGCAAGTTAAAAATATATGGGTAAGATTAGTTGGACCCTGATTGCATTTTACACAGTTGGAGTCTGTACCTGGAAATATTTGAGCCAACCTGCTTCTGGACCAGTGAATCCTAGGAGGAAAAAGCGGATTCTGGTCAAACGGTGAGTGCAAAGGTATACCCTGGATTTTAATGACACCTCATTAGAGACCAAATCTTAAGACAGTTTTAACTATAGTATTACTAGTGTACAAATGCGGGCTAACATTTGAAGGGAGACACAGGAGAGAGAGCAAAGAGGCAGAGTCAGATGTGGCCTCCTCCATTCGCAGCCAAATTGGCTCTGTAGATTTAGTTTCACACCAAAATAGCATTGTGTGAAAATTAACAGCCCAATAATAATACTGAAAATTTGGAAGGGCAAGGCCCCCCAGGTCCTTACTTTTCTGTAGAAGGCTCTTGCACATTCTGGGAGGTTTTTTGTTCCATAAGAACTGCGAAATAGAACTGTCAAGAGTCTGAAAAAAACTTTTTGGAATGAACACCGGGATGCATTGAAAGAGATACAGGCATCTTGGCAAGAAGTTCATTTTAATACAGCTAATCCTTCCTGCTAAAGAAAGAGGCAGCATAGACCAGAGCTGCAAGTCTTGAGCCAACTGTTCCAACAGAGGGTCAAAGTTAGTTTAAAAAAGTTTTGAGAAGTCCTTGGTTACATGGATACCCAGAAATTTAAAATGTTGCGAGACAGCCTTAAAGGGGAGACTAGAAAGTGGGTATGCCGTCGCAGCTGAGTTAACCGGAAGGATTTCACTTTTATCAAAGTTAAGCTTATATCCGGACATCTGTCTAAAGTCCCTCAGCAAAGATAGAATTAGACATGGACTTATCTGGGTCCGACATAAAAATCAATAGATCATCCGCATACAACGACACTCTGTTGTCACAGCCGCCCCGTTGAATGCCTTGCATGGCACTCGCCCTAAGGGCTGCCGCCAATGGTTCTATTGCCATTACAAAGATGGAGAGCGGGCACCCCTGGCGAGTCCCGTGACCTAGGGAGAAAGGCTTTGAGTAATAATTATTGGAACGAACTTGTGCCAATGGTGAGGTATACAATAGTTTAGTCCAAGAGATAAGGGAGGGACCAAAACCAAAACGTTTTAGGGTATAATATAAATAGGGCCACACCACCCGGTCGAAAGCCTTTTCAGCATCCATAGATATGACCAGTTCCGGAGTGTCAGATGATGAAAGGGAATACAGAATATTAAGTAAGCGCCTCACTTTATGGTATGGATGTCTGGTCCTGACGAAACCTGTTTGTTCTGGATTAATAATTGAAGGTATCACCAATTCCAAGCGTCTCACCAACATTTTGGCCCAGAATTTAACATCTGCACACAGTAAAGAAATAGGGCGGTAGTTTCTACAGAATCGAGGGTCCTTACCTTTTTTTGGAATTAAGGAAATTGTAGCTTGTCGTAGGGTAAGCGGTAGGATTCCAGATTCAGATGCCTCTTTAAAAATGGCAAGCATGAGGGGGGATAATTTGTCAATAAAAGCCTTATAAAATTCCGATGGAAAACCATTGGACCCTGGACACCTTCCACTTTGCATGGACATAATTGCAGTTTTAATTTCACCAGCAATAAATGGTTTATCTAGGTGCACCGCAATATCTGGGGCAACTGTCGGGATCATCAGTCCATTGAAAAAGTCATCAAAATGTGCGTCACCAGGCAAATTATCAGACGTATAAAGAGACGAATAAAAGTCTCTAAATCGATCATTAATTCTCTGGGAGTCAGCGGAAAACCCATCAATTCCAGAGACCTTGGAGATACACTGCCCAGTAGAGGACTGGCGGATACAGTGGGCAAGGACTTTAGCTGGCTTATCCCCAAACTCGTAATAACTATGCTTGGTCCTGGTGATTAACTGGACAGCCTCATCAGTGGCCATATAATCGAATCCAGAGTTCTTTATTAGAAGCTCTTTCACCAGATCAGCCGAAGGGGACTCTTCACACTTAATTTGCAGCTCTGATATAGTGTCGTAAAGAGCCTGCCTCCTCCAGGAGACTACCATATTTTCCGGACTATAAGCCGCTACTTTTTTCCCACGCTTTGAACCATGCGGCTTATAATGAGGGGCGGCTTTACTGAAGGTTTTCCTTCACCTGCCAGGGGGCGCTTTAGCAGAAAGTGAAACAGGTGGAAGTCAAAAGTGGAAATCAAAGAAAGTGCTCATTTTAATTTAGCACATGCAAGCAGCCGGCACGATGAAGGATTTTTTTCAAATCCACACCCCCTCATCATGGAAACACGTATGAGTTCATATGATGCCGCATTTAAGTTGAAGGCCATCAATCTGGCAATAAAGGAGGGAAACAGTGCTGCCACACGTAAGCTTGGCATGAATGAATCCATGGTTCGGCGCTGGAGACGGCAGCGGGAAGAACTCATTCAAGCCAGCTTCACCCTGGTATGATGACAGCAACACGAACATCTGACATCGCCACAGAAAAAGTATGTGACGAAGCTCTTCTGAGGCTGTTCAACTCCGACACTGAAGAAGAGGACTTAAATGGCTTTAGTGCGCAAGAGGAAGATGAGAGCGAGTGACTTTTCTGGTAGGCAAGTGTGTTTTATTTACTAACCAGGCATGTTCTGTGTGCTGTTTTTATTTTCTAATCATCCAGGGCTTATTAATGCTGTGTCAGCGCTGCTCTTTTCTTCTAAACATGATGCAAATTACCGGTAATAACGTGTCAGTGCTGTTTTTATTTTATAACCATCCAGAAATATGAATGCTATCAGTGCTGTTTTCTTTTCTAAACTTGCAGGCACGTTCACCCGTGTTTAAAATTATTTTTAATGAATTAAAACAACGAAAAACTTCCGCGTAGCGTCTTTCTGTCTAATTATCTTATGTTACGGCCATACATGCGCTGTGCGCCAGAGACCTGCATGTGGCTGCTGCCCCGCGGCTTGTATTTGAGTGTGGCGTGTGGAAAACCTTTTTATTTTTTGCTGGTGCGGCTTATATTGAGGTGCGCTCTATGGTCCGGAAATTACGGTATCTTATTTTTATAAGCTGTGTACGCAATTATCTTCCCCCGTAGGAAGGCTTTACAAGCTTCCCATATCGTTGCTGCCATCACATCTGGAGTTACATTGGTAGAGATATAAAAATCAATACTCTGATTTATATATTCAACAAAGTCTGAATTATTAAGTAGCGAAGGATTGAAATGCCAGGGGAAGCGCATTATTGGAGTATCCGGAAATGACATGTCCAAAATAACTGGAGCGTGATCCGATATCACTATAGTGGCATAATCACAATGGTTAACTGAGGAGAGAAGTTTTTTATCTACCAGAAAGAGGTCAATTCGTGAAAAGGTTCCATGTACATGAGAAAATAAAGAAAATTATTTGTGGCAGAATTCAGATGACGTTAAGACATCCAGAACTCCATATTGCTGCATAAATGTTTGTATTGCTTTTGCTGATTTAGATATAGGACTTGGTTTAACTGAGCTGCGATCCAATGCTGGGTTAAGACAGCAGTTAAAATCACCGCCCATGATAAGCTGGCCACTGTTCAAGTTGGGAAGTGAGAAGAAAAGTTTCTTTAAAAAGTCCACATTATCCTAATACGGTCCATACACATTAGCTAGAACTACTTTATTTCCTTCTATTATACCCACAACAATAACATAACGCCCATTGGGGTCTGACACCACCTCCGTGACTGCTTGAGGGATATTTTTGTGGATTAAGATGGCTACTCCTCAAGCCTTTCCATTAAATGAAGAGTGGAAAGTTTGCCCCACCCACCCACAACGCAGTTTTAGGTGATCTGTCCGTTTTAAGTGAGTTTCTTGTATAAATGCAATTCTGGTATTTAAAAAATTTAAGTGATTGACAACCTATCTCCGTTTCACAGGAGAATTTAACCCTTTAACATTCCAACTAACAAATCTTAATGTGCCGCTGTGTGCGGATGAATCATTAGAACTCAGCATGACCGTTCATGAAATAAACAGCCCTCATACAAAGGTACAAATAGCAAATAAGCAGAACGCTCCACAAAAACCACATGTACACAGACGCAGCACATAAAAATGGAAGAGAAAATAAAATAAAACAAGGAAATGATAATAGTTGTTGCAAAAGACAACAACATCCCCTCTGATAAGCTAAGCTAATCGGCATATTGTAATTCTTCCTTTTTGTATAGCTCTCCTGCTCCCGCGCAGGGGTCCTTTAACAATAAACCGATCGGCAAAGTTCTGTACATGTCCTTTTCAATCTGGTAGGAAGCTTAATGTTCATATATAAGTTCACACACACAGCCAACAGTCAAACAACGGCGAACCCAAAGATTGAAAATTACATTACCCTCTTAACGGCTAGGTGGTCTCAGACAGTTTCTTGATGAATTTCTCCGTCGCTAAGGCTTTCTAACTTTCTTCTAAATATTTCCTGCAAATTAGCAACAAAATAGCCATTTTCGCTCTGAACCGTTCTTTGAACATTGTTTCAGCTATTATCAAGGATATAAATGTTACAGATACAATAAACATCACTGGCGCTTAGCTCACCTAGTAAAACGTCGGACTCCCGTGCTGAAGATTCGGGTTCGATTCTGGATGTGAACATAGTTTATTTAGTTTCGTTTTTACACTAATGGCATATTTTTTTACAGTAGGACGCCCAAATTTTTATTTGAGACTCGCCGAACAGCATTGCATTCACAGATAAAAAAGATGTGGGTTCAACATTCACTTTGGAACAATTTTTCAAGAGCATGCAGGAGGACTGACCCATCTTAAATCTTTGTTGGCTGCGCTGAAGAGAAAGGTACAGAACCAAATTATTTAATTAACTAGCTGCGCGTTCTCCTGTCCTCTGTCCTCCGGGCCACACACACACACGGGACTGTCTCAGCTGTTATTTTTGTTAAGGAGTGTGCACGTACAGCATGCGCGCCTCGTGCACGAGCCTACTATAGAAGCTGCCGTTACGCTTTTGGCCTGAGGGGGCAATCGCGAGCATAAAAATTCAAAACTCCGTAAAGTCCCTTTAAGGTTGTAAAAAAACTAAATAGTACATTTGGAAGTACTGTTGTTCAATAAATCCCTCAAGCCTTGTGTGGATGCTCGTATGCCTCTTTAAATTTGTCTTTCGGCTAAATCTTTGTCCACACAGCTCACAGGCAAAGGCTTCTCTCCTGTGTGGACTCTCATGTGACAGTTTAAACTATTTTTACGGCTAAATCTTTGTCCACAGAGCTCACAGGCAAAAGCCTTCTCCCCTGTGTGGACTTTCATGTGACAGTTTAAATTATTTTTACGGCTAAATCTTTGTCCACAGAGCTCACAGGCAAAAGGCTTCGCTCCTGTGTGGACTTTCATGTGTGTGTTTAAACTTGCCTTTTGGGTGCATCTGTATCCACAGAGCTCACAGGCAAAAGGCTTCGCTCCTGTGTGGACTCTCATGTGATCATTTAAACTTGCCTTTTGGGTACATCTGTATCCACAGAGCTCACAGGCAAAAGGCTTCTCTCCTGTGTGGACTCTCATGTGTGTGTTTAATTGTGACGTTTTGGTGCATCTGTATCCACAGAGCTCACAAGCAAAAGGCTTCTCTCCTGTGTGGACTTTCATGTGATCGTTTAAATGTGACATTTTGTTACATCTGTATCCACAGAGCTCACAGGCAAAAGGCTTCTCTCCTGTGTGGACTTTCATGTGTGTGTTTAAATTATTTTTCTGGATAAATCTTTGTCCACAGATTTCACAGGCAAAAGGCTTCTCTCCTGTGTGGACTCTCATGTGGTCATTTAAATTATTTTTCTGGCTAAATCTTTGTCCACAGAGCTCACAGGCAAAAGGCTTCTCTCCTGTGTGGACTTTCATGTGTGTGTTTAAACTTGCCTTTTGGGTACATCTGTATCCACAGAGCTCACAGGCAAAAGGCTTCTCTCCTGTGTGGACTTTCATGTGTGTGTTTAAACTTACCTTTTGGGTACATCTGTATCCACAGAGCTCACAGGCAAAAGGCTTCTCTCCTGTGTGGACTCTCATGTGTGTGTTTAAATTATTTTTATGGCTAAATCTTTGTCCACAGAGCTCACAGGCAAAAGGCTTCTCTCCTGTGTGGACTTTCATGTGTCTTTTTAAACTTGCCTTTTGGGTACATCTGTGTCCACAAAGCTCACAGACAAAAGGCTTCTCCCCGGTGTGGCCTTTCATATGACGAGTTAAACTAGACATTTGGCTAAATCTTTTCCCACAATCATCACAACTAAATGATTTCGGTTGTTTCTGGACTTCTCTGCATGAGCCTCCATGTTGCTTCTCTTTCACACATTTTGTATTAACCGAACACTCTGAAGACTTTACTGCTGAATGACTTGTCACTCTCACATGTTCCTGAAGAGACCACTTGTGGAGGAACCATATACCACACACAGGGCAGCTAAAAGATTTGCTGACTGTCTTAATATCTGACTCCGAAGACTTGTTCTCATTACAGCCATGGTCTCCGCTTCCAGTTTCAGGCCCAGAGTCTGAATGCTCAGAGTCTAGATTCAAATCATCTTCATCTTCTCCACTAACTTCAATCTCTGAAGAATCAAATGTCTTTTCATTAGGGTCCAGATCTAGGTTTTTGCTAGTTTCTGCTCCTCCACCAACTTTTGCTGTCATTTGCCCAGCCAAGCTACTGGTTGGGACACCTCCGTCTTTCATTGGATGGTTGTGGAAATGTAAGAGCAGAGGTTTCTCATCCGTCTCTTCTCTCTTCCTTGAAACTGCAGTGAAACAAGCAGAAATATACAAAGGAAAAATATTCAGTAAAAGAGAAGACAAAATACCTAGGGGTGTTTTTGGAATCAGTAATATTCATAACCAATGTTGGTAAACACATTACTATTTATGGTAATGCATTACTTTAACAAATAACTATGAATCTAATGAGTTGCTTTTAAGTTCAGACAACACTATGCGATTTGTAGAAGGAAAAAAATGCTATCTGCAAATTCTGATTAACGCCTCTCAGAGCCGGTCAAACCAGCCGTCCGTCGCTGCTACTGTGGAGCCTAGAGATACCCTGACAGCAGCATCGTGTCGGCCCCTCCCTTCCTTTCCCTAACACTGTAGACGCGCAGTGGCAAAAATGTAAACAAACATATCTGAATCAGAATCAGAAAGAATTTTATTGCCAGCACTCCAGAGCATAGGAACTTGACTCCACAGTACAGCTTGACCAAGATTACACACACACATATAGACAGGACAGATACAGGCAGACCGCGAGAGCAGCCATAACAGCGCCGAACGTTTACTCCGTGAGAGTGCTGTAAAGTTTGTTTCCTACAACGAAATCACGGCGAGGAGGAAGCTCGTTAAAATGCGTCAAAACAGTAATGTAATACGTGTTATAAGAAGAAACTGTGGGTGGAGTGAGGTGAGATTGTAAGGCACGCTGCAGAAATAAAAACACAGAGCATCAACACTCGTCTGTAACCCATAAAATAATAATGAGCATCATGCTGCCAGATCAGCAGCTTGTGATGACAGTTAGTTCTGCTCACTAGGTCAGCTGACCTTAATCCACAAGATGGGACATATGGCACTAGAATTCCAGATAAAGAGCTAGGAGCAAGGCCATTTAAACATTTGTAGGCCAGAACCAAATTCTTAAATTCAACACAGAACTGAACTGGGATCCAATGCAGAGAGGCTGGAGTGATATGATCAAATCGACAAGTGCCAGTCTAAAGATGGGCTGCAGCATTTTGAACTAGCTGCAGCCTAGCAATACATCCATGATCAACACCCAAGTAAAGACTATTGCAGTAGTCTAAACAAAATGCATTAAATGCATGAATAAGCTCCTCAAAATGATTCCTCATCAAAAAGGACTTATAAAGATTCTTTAGGTGAAAAAAGCATACTTGAACCACATTATTGACTTGAACATCAAATTTAAGCTGAGAATTCATCTTAACACCCAAATTAGACACAACATCCTTTGCATCGTATGAGACTGAGTAACTACAGGAGCACCACTTGGTGCAAACATAATCAACTCAGTCTTAGACTCATTAATCTGGAGAAAATTACAACCCATCCACAATCATTAACCTCACAAAGACAACTCAGAGCAAAATCCTTAGCTTCAACAGGAGCATAGACCTGACAGTCATCAGCATAAAGATGAAAGCCAAGCTCATATTTCCTAAAGATGGCCCCAAGAGGGAGCAACTATAAATTGAAAAGCAGAGGACCAAGTACAGAGCCCTGTGGTACCCCATATTTCAGGGGAGCATCACTTGAGCAGAAGCTACCAATCTTAACAGTAACATACCTGTCAGACAGGTAGGAACTCATCCAGAAGAGCGCTGAACCAGAGAGTAGGGCTGCTCAATTAATCAAATTTTAATCACAATTACGATCTGAGTTTTGAACGATTATACAAACAAAACAAGCCAATTATTTGCTCCTCCCACTTGCGTTGCCCTGAGTTGCAAATTAAGTGCTCCTCCCACAGTGTTGCCAGCTTAGCGACTTTGACGCTATTTCTAACAGCTTTTCAGACCCCCTTCTTGATGTTTTAAATCTTAAAAGTACCTAGCAAACACCTCAGAAACATCTCTGGTAACCCTTAGCTACTTTCTGGATAACTGTCGTTGACGTTTCCTGCAGGTTAGCTTAACACTCCGCCTGCGCTCCGGACAGTTCTTCAGGACATTAGGAAAGGGAATGATGTAGTGATGTGTCCGTCGCTAAAGAAACGGCTCTCGGAGCCAGCTCCCTGTTAG